AGCATTGTCCATTAACAGGAGGCACTTGAGTGGCAATTTCTTTTCCAGGAGGTATTTTTTCACACTTGGGCCAAACACATCATTAACCCACTCTTTGAAAATTTGCCTTGTGACCTATGCCTTATGATTAGCTTTCCACATCACACACAATCTATTCTTCATGACATTGTTTTTCTTAAACACTCTGGGATTTTCTGAGTGATACACAAGTAAAGGCTTCACTTTGAAATCCCCACTAGCATTACCACACAACAAAAGAGTAAGCCTGTCTTTCATAGGCTTGTGTCCTGGCAGTGCCTTTTCCTCCTGGGTAATGTAGGTCCTCTTCGGCATTTTCTTCCAAAACAGGCCTGTTTTGTCACAATTGAAAACTTGTTGGGGTTCGAATCCTTCAGTCTTTACATAGTCCTGGAATTCCTGAACATACTGTTCAGCTGCACGTTTGTCAGAACTTGCAACCTCACCATGCCTTACAACACTGTGTAGGCCACTACGCTTCTTAAATCTGTCAAACCATCCTTTGCTGGCCCTAAATTCACGAACTGCAGCACTTGTTCCAGGCATTTTCTTTGCAAGATCCTCATGCAACTGCTTTGCCTTCTCACAAATAGTAGACTCCACTACACTGTTTCCCACTAATTCTTTTTCCTTAATCCACAATAATAATAACTTTTCCATCTCTTCCATTATCAGTGTCCTTTGTTTAGTTAGAAAAGCTACTCCTTTTGCAACATTAGCGTCTTTGATTTGTTCTTTCTTTGCCAGGATAGATGTAATTGGACTTGTAAATATGCTGAGTCACAGGCATAATTATTGTCACAATGACAAATAACACCATCACTCACCACCTTCACTGCCTGTCAACTTCCTCCCCCCCCACCCCACCAACCCACATGGAAATAAGTCAATGTTTGAATTTTTTGGTTATCCTAGGTTGATGGTCTCCTTACTTCCTTTTATTGTATTTTTATTTATTTTTTTATTTGGACATGATACACAGTTGTACAAAGAAATATAGTGATTGGGTGTACATGCCAAAAGCCCCATTGTATGCCTTCCCTCCTTCCTTCCTTCCCTCCCTCCTTCCTTCCTTCCCTACTTCCTTCCTTCCTCTCATCTCTTCCCTTCTTCCTTCCTTCTTCCCTTCCTTCCTTCCTTCTTCCTTCCTTCAAGTTTCCTGGGCATTGCTTTCGGTCACAAATTCCTCAAAACCATGAAATTCATCTTCACTGACACTTCCATCTGTGTATGAACTGTCACTTGGGAACAAAAGAGGCCCAATTAGCCGAGGAGTGAGGAGTTTCTCAGCGCTCGACATGGTGAACAAGGTGTCATAAAATGGTTTTCCCACAATTCACCACTGGGTCCCCGATTTTTTTTTGTACCATTCACACTGACCGTGGAGACCCATTCTCTCATATCTAGGTGTACCAGCTGTTTCCTGCTTAATTTGAGGCCGCTAGAATTTACGCATACTAGTATGGCACCAACCCTGGCGCGCAAGCCATACTAGTATTTACCTGGAGTTTACCTGGAGAGAGTTTCGGGGGTCAATGCCCCCGCGGCCCGGTCTGTGACCAGGCCTCCTGGTGGATCAGCGCCTGATCAACCAGGCTGTTGCTGCTGGCTGCACGCAAACCAACGTACGAGCCACAGCCCGGCTGATCAGGAACTGACTTTAGGTGCTTGTCCAGTGCCAGCTTGAAGACTGCCAGGGGTCTGTTGGTAATCCCCCTTATGTGTGCTGGGAGGCAGTTGAACAGTCTCGGGCCCCTGACACTTATTGTATGGTCTCTTAACGTGCTAGTGACACCCCTGCTTTTCATTGGGGGGATGGTGCATCGTCTGCCAAGTCTTTTGCTTTCGTAGTGAGTGATTTTCGTGTGCAAGTTCGGTACTAGTCCCTCTAGGATTTTCCAGGTGTATATAATCATGTATCTCTCCCTCCTGCATTCCAGGGAATACAGGTTTAGAAACCTCAAGCGCTCCCAGTAATTCAGGTGTTTTATCTCCGTTATGCGCGCCGTGAAAGTTCTCTGTACATTTTCTAGGTCGGCAATTTCACCTGCCTTGAAAGGTGCTGTTAGAGTGCAGCAATATTCCAGCCTAGATAGAACAAGTGACCTGAAGAGTGTCATCATGGGCTTGGCCTCCCTAGTATGGCACTAACCCTGGAGCGCAAGCCATACTAGTACGGCACCAACCCTGAAAGGGTTAAAACACCAACTTTGCAATGTATTTTTGTATGGCATTTATGGCTGTATTCTCGTTTTCTTGGTCTCAATTGATAGAATGGAAGATATATTACAGAAATAGAGATGATTTTGAATGGTTTAGATTAAAAGCACCTTGAAATCGAGCTCAAAGCTGGGGAAATGTTCGATTTTTTGCCAATGTTCAGGATTAAACAAATAAAGCCATGAGTCCAATACATGTCAACTGGTGGGTCTAATATGCTTTCACAAATTTGCTGATATTATTTATACCACATTTACAATAATGCAGTAGTCTGCATAACAGTAAATGTTCTATTTTTTGTATGAATAAAAATTCAAACTGGAAATCAAGCGTAATACAAGAGGAGCCTGGAGACGTGACTAATGAACAGAGGGAATGTTATTTTAGTGCTAGGAATGTTTGTATATTTAATTCTGGACCCTATTTTGAAATTGGCCTTACTTGAATTGTGTATGAAAATGGCCAACTGCCAATTTTTGATCACTTTATTGGGTAGTTGAAATCGGTTAATAGGCAGTTTCTTGTACTCATTTGATAGAACAAATAGAGTTCTAGCAAAATAGCTACGAGTTTGGTCGACTGGAATAATGAAATTGGCCAAAAATGGGGCTCAAAGTGGGTGAAATCGCTGATGCTTAAATATCACCAAGACCGCTAACTTCACAAGAGCATAATTCCATAAGTTTCCATCAAATTTCGTACTTTTGGTGTCATTACCATCGGCAAAGGATTCTCTATAATTTAATAAGAAACAATAATTTTTGTTTTTTTTAAATTCTTCAATACTCAGAACAAGTTTGTGAGCAGGAGTCTCGACAGTGAAAGAGTTAATAACAGAATGATACACATACTTGATTAATAAAAGCATGATACACATACAGTGGACCCCCGGTTAACGATTTTAATCCGTGCAAGAGGGCTCATCGTTATGCGAAATAATCGTTATGCGAATGAATTTTCCCCATAAGAAATAATGGAAATAAAATTAATCCGTGCAAGACGCCCAAAAGTATGAAAAAAATTTTTTTTTACCACATGAAATGTTAATTTTAATACACACAAACTGAAAAAGGCATGCACAATTACATGACACTTACTTTTATTGAAGATCTGGTGATGATTGATGGGATGGGAGGAGGGAGAGCATTATCTTCTTACTGTTTAGAAGGGGAATCCCCTTCCATTACGACTTGAGGTAGCAAGTCCTTTTCCGGGGTTACTTCCCTTCTTCTTTTAATGCCACTAGGACCAGCTTGAGAGTCACTGGACCTCTGTCGCACAACAAATCTGTCCATAGAGCTCTGTACCTCCCGTTCCTTTACGATTTGTCTAAAATGGGCCACAACATTGTCATTGAAATAGTCACCAGCACGGCTTGCAACAGCTGTGTCAGGGTGATTTTCATCTATAAAGGTTTGCAGTTCAACCCACTGTGCACACATTTCCTTAATCTTTGAAGTAGGCACAATGGATTCCACAACTGGCATAGGCTTCTCAGGGTTAGCCCCAAACCCTTCAAAATCTTTCTTAATTTCCATACTAATTCTCACCCTTTTTACCACAGGGTTGGCACTAGAAGCTTTCTTGGGGCCCATGGTCACTTATTTTCCAGAAACAGCACCGAAAACACTGTAATAATACGAAATATTCCGAGTGTATGCTTGGATGTTACCGCGGAGGCTGGCTGGTAAACAATGGGACGGCCGGCACATGTGAGGCTGGCTGAGGGCACATTGGACGCGTCTCGGACGAAAATCGGTAAGCGGGTTTTTAATCGGTATGCGCGGCAAAAATTTTGCGATAAAAGTAATCGGTATGCGGAAAAATCGCTATGTGATGCCATCGTTATGCGGGGGTCCACTGTACTTGGTTAATAACAGCAGGATACACATAATTGATTAATAACAGCTGTTACCAAACGAATTTGTTCCCATAAGGAATAATGTAAATTAGATTAGTCCGATTCAGACCCCCAAAAATACACTTACAAAAACCCATACAATAATATACTTACATAATTGTTCGAGTCAGGAGCTGTATGAAACTCGGGGCACCACTGTACTTGATTAATAGCAGCATGATACATATACTTGATTAATAACAGCATGATACACATACTTGATTAATAACAGCATGATACACATACTTGATTAATAGCAGCATGATACATATACTTGATTAATAACAGCATGATACACATACTTGATTAATAACAGCATGATACACATACTTGATTAATAACAGCATGATAAACATACTTGATTAATAACAGCATGATACACATACTTGATTAATAACAGCATGATACATATACTTGATTAATAACAGCATGATACACATACTTGATTAATAACAGCATGATACACATACTTGATTAATAACAGCATGATAAACATACTTGATTAATAACAGCATGATACACATACTTGATTAATAACAGCATGATACACATACTTGATTAAATAACAGCATGATACACATACTTGATTAATAACAGCATGATACACATACTTGATTAATAACAGCATGATACACATACTTGATTAATAACAGCATGATACACATACTTGATTAATAACAGCATGATACATATACTTGATTAATAACAGCATGATACACATACTTGATTAATAGCAGCATGATAAACATACTTGATTAATAACAGAATGTTACACATACTTGATTAGTAACAGCATGATACACATACTGATTATTAACAGCACGATACACATACTTGATTAAGAACAGCATGATACACATACTTGATTAATAACAGCACGGTTCACTGAAGGGAAGCCCTTAATGACAACTTTAGTAATAGATTGCTTCAGATACTGCAGTTGGTAGTACATTGAAGAAGTCTTGGTCTTGGATGGTCTCACCGTAATGATGGTCTTGGACTCTACACAAACATCCATTTCCTTCAGCTAAGCACAAATATATACCATAAACAACTTACCACTCATAAGCACAGTCATTAAGACACAAACATTATATAAAATAACCATAATAGACACCAATGTACAACAAGGATGTACATATTTTATAACAAAAAAAGGCACAATACCATGACTGGAACGATACACAAATAACCCGCACATAAAAGAGAGAAGCTTACGACGACGTTTCGGTCCGACTTGGACTATTGACAAAGTGTGACTTTGTCAATGGTCCAAGTCGGAGCGAAACGTCGTCATAAGCTTCTCTCTTTTATGTGTGGGTTATTTGTGTAATGTTCATATTTTACTCTCATGTTTTACCCTACCAGTGGTTCCCTCCCCAAGAGTTGTGTCCTGACCTACCAGTGGTTCCCTAATCCAGAGTTGTGCCCTGACCTACCAGTGGTTCCCTAACCCAGAGTTGTGTCCTGACCTACCAGAGGTTCCCAAACCCAGAGTTGTACCCTGACCTGCCAGTCATTCACTAACCCACAGTTGTATCCTGACCTACCAGTGGTTCCCAAACCCAGAGTTGTGCCCTGACCTACCAGTGGTAGGTCATCTGAAACATTTCATAAAAATCCATTGTTTTTTGTGTTTGCGACTGCTAAATAAGCCAACATGGGGCCAAAGAAAGTTCTGAGTGCCAGCCCTTCCACAGAGAAGGTGAGAAACACAATAGAATTCAAGAACTCATAGAAAAATACGAAAGTGACGTACATGTGGCCAAGCTCACCAGGATGTATTGGAAGTCCAAATCAATGATCAGTTCCATCCTGGAAATGAAAAAAAACTCAAGGAAGCTGATGCTGCAAAAGGGGTAAATGTGCTAACGAGACAGAGAAGTTGTTGTTGGTGTGGATCAACCAAAAACAGTTAGCGGGAGATAGTATTGTGGAGGCGATAATTTGTGAAAAGGCAAGGCAGTTGCATGCGGATCTCGTAAAGAAAACTGTGGCTAGAATGTGTCCTCCAGAAGGATTTTGAAGGGTTTAAGGCTGACCCTGACGATTCTATGCCTGTTGTGGAATCTACTGTGTCTTTGGGGAAGTCCATGGGGTTGGAGGTGAGTGGCCAGGATGTGAAAGAGTTGGTAGATGACCACAGGGAAGAGCTAACCACTGAAGAGCTGCAAGACCTTCATCTGGAACAGCAACAGACCTTAGCTGAGGAAACTGCTTCAGAGGAGGAGGAAGAGAAAGGGAAGAATGTGCTTTTTTCAACGATTAAGGACATGAGGAATGAAGTGCAAAGTTTTGTGGAGAATTATCACCCTAACAAAGCTGTTGCAAGCCACGTCAGCAATATGTTCAATGACAATGCCGTGTCCCATTTTAGGCAAATCTTCAAAAGATGCCAGAAACAGGCATCTCTGGACAGATTTTTTGTGTGACAGAGGTCCAGTGACTTTCAAGCTGTCCTAGTGCCAGTACAAGACAAAGAAGGGAAGTAACCGCAAAGAAGGCTTTGATACCTGAGGTCCTTATGGAGGATGATTCCCCTTTCAAACAATAACCTCTCCTCCTTCTCCCCTCCTCTCCATCTTTCATATGCCAACAAGAGTCTTCAATAAAGGTAAAAGTGATGTTAAATGTTCATTTATTCACTTCATTAGTCATTTACAGTGGACCCTCAGTTATCAGCCATAATCCATTCCAGAAGGTTGGCCTAAATCCGAAAAGGCAGAAAACCGAAATAATATTTCCCATAAGAATTAATGTAAATCCAATTAATTCATTTCAGACACCCGAAAAATATTATCAAAAAATACATTTTTTAAAGATTAACTATAGCTTTACATACAGAAAACAATGAGAAATAAATACGTATAAAGTACAAATTTTAACGATAAATGAACATTACACACCTTATTGTAGACTCTTGTTGGCATATTGAAGAAAGCAGGAGGGGAGGGAGTTGGGAATACCCATCTCCCTCTCCCCTCTGTGTAGTGTAGCCCAGGGGGGCTACACTACACAGCCAAATTATTACACTACATAGCCATATTATTACCATGTTCACTGAGTTTAATAATTTCTAACAACTACCTTTAGATGCCATCATTAAACAAAGGAAGAAGTAATGAATAATTCATGCCAAGAATTGTAAACAAATGCATATGAAAGGCGGTTACAGGGAGAGACGCCAGATTCACAGTTTCCTTTAATGCTGAATCAGAGCAAACATAATATTTACTCTCCACCTGACTCTCCACTTGATAACATATAAACATTGCATGCTTATATGTTATATGCTATGTAACGTGTTTCTTATATAATTTTGAAGAAAATATCATAGATGGATTAATGAAAATGTCTATATTAACCTATGCTCAAGAGTGATTTATTACACGTCCAATATGGCCAATCTCCGAAATAATGGCTGATAGAATTTCGGCCCAAAAAGCAGGCAAAAACTGACTTGGCTGATATCTGGAACAGCCAATAACCGAGGGTCCACTGTATTATATTTATTTTTCATTGTTTTCTGTATGTAAAACTATAGTTATTCTCTATAAAATGTATTTTTTGTTAATAATTTTGGGTGTCTGAAACAGATTACAGTGGTTCCTCAATTATCCTCCTTAATCCGTTCCTGGAAATGGGACTGTTATCGAAATAGACGATTTTCGAATCAATTTTCCCCAAAAGAAATAATGTAAATCCAATTAATTCGTTCCAGACACCCAGAAGTATCAACAAAAAATTTTTTTTTTACCTAAAAGATGGATTTACATGCACAAAAGAATGAACATTCAACATGACACTTACCTTTATTGAAGGCTGTTGTTGATGAATGGAAAACAGGGAGGAGGAGAGAGGGAAGAGAGGTTATTGTTTGGAAGGGCAATCCCCCTCCATAAGGACTCTAGGTCACTTCAGGGGTCACTTCCCTAGCATAAATATAGATTTACATGCAGAAAAAATGCCAAATAAATGGAAAGCACTAATAAAATGTATAAATGAACATTGGTAAGAGGAGTAGTTGATAAGTGGAATGGTCTGCCTAGTAGGATGATCGAAGCTAAAACATTGGGTAGTTTCAAATTTAGGTTGGATAAATACATGAGTGAGAGGGGTTGGATTTGAGTCGGACTTGCACCTGAGCTTATTGCTTGGGTAGCATTTGTTCTGTTAGTGGGTTGGATTTGTGAAGGACCAGCCTAGTATGGGCCAGCAGGCCTGTTGCAGTGTTCCCACTTTCTTATGTTCTAAAAGCTATGGCTTGGGTAGTTTCAAATTTAGGTTGGATAAATACACGAGTGAGAGGGGTTGGATTTGAGTCGGACTTGCACCTGAGCTTATTGCTTGGGTAGCATTTGTTCTGCTAGTGGGTTGGATTTGTGAAGGACCAGCCTAATATGGGCCAGCAAGCCTGTTGCAGTGTTCCTACTTTCTTAAGTTCTTATTTAACATCACACTTACCAGTAGGGTGATCGAGGCTAGGACCTTGGGTAGCTTTAAGAAGAGATTGGACAAATATGAGTTGGAGGAGCTGAGTTTGATTTGTGTCATTGGGTACGGGAGTAAATTCTTGGGTAGCTTTGGGTAGAGGTCATTCTGATAAGGACCTGCCTTGTATGGGCCAATAGACCTGCAGTGTTCTTCCATTGTTATGTTCTTAGTGGGAAGGATTGTAAAGGACCTGCAGGCCTATTGCAGTGTTCCTCCTTTCTTATGTTCTTACTGGAGATTTGTTTGTATGAGGGAGGGATGGCAAGTTTATTGTTAGAGAATATGACACTAATATCAACTCTATGGCTTATTTATCTATCACAATTCAACTAATATAAATTAATAAACAATATTAATAACATAGAAACATGGAATATACTCTAAAATGAATAAAATAAGTCATTACATATGTCACGAGAGATGTTGAGTTGTGTTGTTGTTGGGTATATAAGGGCCACTGAGTGTAAGGCGTCCATAATGGTGGTGAAGAAGCAGCTGAGGCGGCGGTGTTTTCTGTAGCCCTATATAACTCCAACAACATTGGAGAAGTTGGTAGAATCGCTGAATCACTAAAGAAGGAACCCTCTACCACCATCACTACGACCTTCTACCACTATTACAACTGTTGCCACCATCACTACTACCTTCTACCACCATCAACCACTATCACAACTGCTTCCACTCTACCACCACCACCACCACCTTTGTATTTTTCTACAAACTTTTTCATAAATTATGTGTTTCTCACATTCTTTACCAAAGGGCTGGCACTAGAAGCTTTCTTTGGAGCCATGGTAGCTTATTTAGCAATTGCAAGCACTAAAATCAATGGAATATTATGAAATATTTCGTAGGAGCATGTGAGGGGACCGTCGCTCACTGGTAAACAATGGCACACTGGCTGGGAAGGCAGGCCCAGGGGGCTCAGAGCGTGAGTACCTGTCCCGGACGAAGGACGATTAGCGAGTTAACGGACCATTTACGAGCCAATGTTTAGACGAAATAATGGGACTATTCCTGAAATGGACGACTTTCAGGCCGGACGATTATTGTGGGACCACTGCAATTGGATTTACATTATTTCCTATGGGAAATATTACTTCAGTTTATGTACAAATCAGTTTTCGGCCGACCTTCTGGAATAGATTAAGGATGAAAACCAGGGTTTCACTTTACACTGATCGCTACTGGGTCCTCTCTCTCCCTGCTCCATGAACTTTATCATACCTTGTCTTAAAACTATGTATGGTTCCTGCCTCCACTACATCACTTGCCAGACTTTTCCACTTCCTGACAACTCTATGACTAAAAAAATACTTCCTAACATCTCTGAATCATCTGAGTCTTCCACATCCAATTGTGACCCCTTGTTTCTATGTCCCATCTCTGGAACATCCTGTCTCTGTCTATTTTACCTATTCCTCTCAGTATTTTGTATGTTGTTATTATGTCTCCCATAGCCCTCCTGTCCTCCAGTGTAGTTAGGCTGAGTTCCCTTAACCTTTCTTTATATGACATTCCCCTTAGCTCTGGAACTAGCCTTGTTGCAAACCTTTGCACTTTCTCTAATTTCTTGACATGCTTTATCACTAGTCCCCCCCAGTACCACATACCACCAATCCGATGATATTCTTCTTTGCAAATATACAGGGTCTAAAGCCAGCAACAAACAACAAAATACCCTTCATCCGTGGACTGCTTGCAGAGGCAAATGCAATGTTCGCGGCTTTCACAGAGACCCACATAAAGGATCATTTGGACAACGAAATATGGATCTCAGGATACAACCTATACAGATGCGACAGAGTGAACAGGCAAAAGAAGGAGGGGGGGGGGGGTTGGCCTGTATATTGCAGAGTCACTTATTTGCACAGAACTGCTTAATGCTTCAAATGATATAGTGGAAGTTTTAGCAGTAAAGATCGAGAACCAAAACTTAGTCATTGTGGTAGTCTAAAACCCTCTGGATGCAATGTCCCAACAATTCCAGGAACAGCTGTTGAAAATTGACCACTGTCTGGAAAATCTGCCAGCTCCTGCCCCCAACATCTTGCTCCTGGGGGATCTCAACTTGAGGCACCTAAAATGGAGGAATATAGCAAATAATGTTGTTGCAGTGATAACACCAGGAGGCAGGTCAGACGAGAACTCACACACACACGAGCTTTTAAATCTCAGCACAAAATTCAACTTAAACCAGCCTACTAGACTAGAGAATACACTGAACCTCATCTTCACTAACAATGATGATCTGATACGAAATGTCACCATATCAAAAACAATATACTCAGATCACAACATAATCGAGGTTCAGACATGTATGCGCGGAGCCCCAGACCGACAAAATGAGATCAGTCACGAGGGAGCCTTCACCAAATTCAACTTCAATAACAAGAACATAAAGTGGGACCAAGTAAACCAAGTCCTAAATGATATAAGCTGGGAAGATAGACTAAGCAACACAGAGCCCAACTTATGCCTAGAACAGATTAACTCTGTGGCACTTAATATATGCTCAAGGCTTATTCCTTTAACCCGTAAACGGTTCCAAACATATATATACATTACCTACCGTACTGCCCCAAATTTTTTGAGAAAAAAAAATCGTTTGTTTTTAAATAAAACAATAAAAAAGTAAAATACACATATAGTACAATCATTACTTACCTTAAAATATATGTAGTCTTAATCTAGGGTGAGACAAGTAGTATTTATTGTAAGAAATCAAGTGTGGTATGTATGGTAGCCAGCCGGGCTACCATACCAGGCCACCCCATCCACACATAATATTCTATAACATTTAAGCATTCCAGAGCAATAAAATGCATATACAGTTCACTCATTACTTACCTTAAAATATTTGTAGTCTTAATATAGGGTCAGAGGTGAGTAAACGAGATAAAACAAATAAATGAGAGAGAGAATGAGTACATGAGAGAGGACACTCGTGGAGTTATGTAAACAAACCAGGCGAACGTGGGTTATGTTAACAAACAAACTGTACACGTCTGATTTGTGTACAAGTTACATAAGTTGTCGGGCTCCCACATTATTTTTTTTTAACTAGGGGGGGGTTTTTTCACATAGTTTTAGTTTTATTTAAAATTTTAAAAAAAAACCACTCAATTATAAAATTTTTATTCAAAATATTTTAATGAGACCGGGTTTAACAATAAATAGGGGAAATTTTTTAAAAAGGGCCCCCCCTTTTTATTTTAACCACGGGTTATTTAACAAAAAATTTTTTTGTTTTTTAAATTAATTTTGAAAAAATTTAAAATGGATTAAAAAATGGTTATTAACATAATAATGTTAAAATTTAATAATAAGTTACCCCCAAAACATTACGATTATAAAATGGAATAAAATTTATTTTTAAATTTTCCGGTTTCCCCGGGGGGGAAAAAGAAAATTTTAAACATAAAAATTTCTTTAAAATTTCTCATTTTTTTTTAAAAACATATAAATTGGGGGCAATGTCATTGGGGTTTTGTAGGGGGTTCAAACATAAAGTTTTTCATTTAACCCAATTAAGTTTTAAAAAAAGGGTTTTTTCCCCTTTAAAAGGGTTTTTAAAAAGGATGTGTGATTCACCTTTTGAAAAATTTTGATTTTAAAAAAAATTGGGGGCCCCCCGGGGGGGGTTTAAAAGATGAACACCAAAAGTGGGTTGTCCATTCTCTTTGCAAACCCTTTCCTTTTTGGGGTTGAAAGTTTGAATTAAAATTTATTCAAAAAAAAAAATTAAAAATAAACGGGAAAGAAGTTATGAAGGAAAAAAAAATTGGGGGAAAAAGGGTAAAAAATAGGGGGAAATAAAAATTTAACTTTTAAGGTTATTTTGCGGGGTTTTAAAAGGGAATATTTTTAGGGGGGGGGAAAATTTTGCATTGGGGTCGGGAACAAAAATTTTGTTTTTCCCCAAAAATATAAATTTTAATTTTACCACCTTTTTGGGTTTAACTTTTTTGTTAAAAACTTTGAAACCCATTCTAAATTTGGGGGTTTAAATCAAAAATTCGTGTTTAAAGGGGGAGGTGCCCCCCCAAAAATGTTTTTGGGGAAAATTTTTGGGGTTTGAAAAGGGTAAAAAAACTTCAAATTTAAAAAGGGGAAAATTTGGGGGCCAGGGAAATTTTTTAAAATTTTTGGGGGTTACTTCCGAAAGGGGGCTTTTTTTAAATTTAAAAAAAATTTTTTAAATTTTTTGGGGAAAGGGAAAATTTTAAAATTTGGGGCCCAAACCCGGGGCCATTCCCGGAAAGTACAGGGGCCCGGGAAATTTTTCTTTAAAATTTATTGAAAACCCCCTTTAAACAATAAATAATATTTAAATTTTTTCTTTTTGGGGGCCCCCTTTTTTTCCCTTTGGTAAAAAAAAAAATTTAATTTTAAAATTTAACTTTTCCAAAATTTTATTTGAAACCAATAAAACGGGTCGGGGCTCTAAACAAAAAACTTTTCATCCCTTTAAAAAAATCAATACTTTTAAGGTTTTTAAAATTTTTAAAGCTTTTTATCCTAAAAAATTTTTGGGGCCCAAACCGAATAGGGCACCATAACAAAAAAAAACACAAAATATCTTCCCAACCCTCCATTTTTCCTTTTCTAATTAATGAACAAACCCTTTTGTCCTTAATTTTTAAAGTTTTCCATCCAAACTTTTTTTCCCCAAATTTTCAACCCTTTGGGCTCCTTTTACATTCCCCCTTTTAAATCCCCCCCAAACTTTTTTTTGGGACCTTCTTCCCCCTCAGCATTCCCCCCCACCTCTTTCTCTCCAATCCCTCTTCCTCCTCATTTCCTTTATTAACTCCTTAAAACTTTTTATTTCCCCCCTTTACCATTTTCCCTTTTCCCAATCCTCCAGCTTTTTTCCCCCCAAAACCCCTTTTTTTTTAAAACTAACCCCTCCCCCCCTTTTCCCCCTTCTTTTCTTTTAATCTTTATCTTGTGGAAGAAGTGATTATTTCCCTTGGTTTTTTTTCTTAAAAAAGGGGGGGGATTTCTAATTGATTCTTTCAACCCTTTTATTTATTTTTTTCCACCCTTTCATTCCCCCCTTAACTTTAAAATAATCCCCTTTATTTTAAACCCTTCCCTAAAAACCCTTAAAACCCAAAAATTAAAAAAAGGGTATTTTCCCGAAAATTTTTTTTTTAATCCCCCCTTTTTTCCCCCCGGAGGGGCCCAAAAAAAACCCCTCTTCTCCTTTTGGCCAAATTTTTTACACCCCATTTTTTTCTGAAAATTCACCCCCCAAAACCCAATTACCCATTCCGGATCAACCGGTCCTTTCCAAAAACCCCCCTTTAAATTTCTTTCTCCCCAAAGCATCAATTTTTAAAACCTTTTTTTCACCCCTTAAAACTCGTTCCTTTCCCCCCATAAACCCCTCCCACCCCCCTTTACCCCCCCCCCCTTTCCCCCCCCCCTTCCTTCCCAACGACTATACCACTTGAACCCTTTTTTTTTTTCTCTTGTAAACCACCAAAATTCCTCCCCCCTCGGAAAAAATTTTGGGGCCCGCCCTTCCCCTTTTCCCAAAAAAATTTTCATTTTTCAAAAATTAGACAGGAACCCCCAAAGACCTTTTTGAAATTTTCCCCCCCCTTTCCCCTATAAATTTGGGGTAAAATTTTCTTATCCCCCCCCTTTTTAAGAAAACCCCACAACCCTAATGCAACTACTTTTTTCCCCCTTTTTTTATACTTTCCGGGGGCCCTCCCTACCCCCCCCCAAAAAATTTGGAATATTCCCCTTCCAATCTCCCCCCAAATCTTATTAAATTTTTCATCCCCTAATTTTTTTTTCCTCAAACCTTCCCCTTTTTGTTTTTTTTAATTTTTTTTTTACCCTAA